TCCTGTGCTTGACCCTCCCTACCTCAGCACAGCAAAACAACCTCTGTCCTGGAGAAGGAGAGGCGGGCGATGTGGAAAGGAGATAATGCTCTCTTCCAAGCACGCTGCAGAGAGGCCGAGGCTGACAGAGAGGGAAGGTGCACAGAACACTGAGTGGCTTGTTTATAGAGAGCTCAGGGAGAAGGTGTTCTTCACTGCTCTTCACATGCTCAATCAATCTGCGTTCTGTGTTTTAGAAATTAACCAACAAAGCCTTTGTGTTAAACGCCTATAACCCCAGAGGCTGAGGCAGGGGTATTTCAAGTATGAGGACAGCCTGGTCTACAAAATAAAAACCTGTGTCAATAAACAAAAGAGGGGAAAGAGTATCCACAACAAATAGATGAGAAAAGTGAGGCTCAGAGAGATTGTGTGACTTTTTCAAAATCTCACAGCCAGACGAGAACAGAGATTGATCCCAGGCTCATCTGATTTCCCAGTCCAGAATCATCTTTCTTCTAGGGGAAGGTGGTAAGTAGAGGCTTGGGATGAAAGCATGCTATGGCTGCTTTGTATACCGTGAAGCCCTAATTGCCAACTGTGCTTTGTATCCCCAGCTCCAGGTTTCAGGCAGGAATCTCAGGTCTCCCAGCCATTCTTTCCTTTTCCAATATTTTGGTCCTTATCAGTTTCCTTAATCATCATTTACTTTTATTCACAGCCTTGAGACAAACAGCACCTGTGTCTGTGGGCCTGTGGAAGACTTAACGCCTCAGATCCAATACCTACTATCTTCCATAGAATCAAAGCTACAGAGAAGGGGACTTCCAAGGCAAGCCCAGATTCCACTTCCCTGTACTCACACCCAGTAGTCGACCATACCTTTCCAGGTTATTCACCTTCCTGGGCTAAGTCCAGGCAGGACACCCTCCTCGGGAGTCCCACATCAGTCACCCCTCAGAGCTTTCAAGAGGAGTTAAAGTTTCATAGAAACACAGGCAACTTGGCTCAATGACAAAAGAAACTGTGTCCTTCCATCATCCCAACCCAGAATTCATTAAGATATAAACAGGGGAGGATTCTGGGAGAAGTTCCTTGTGGAAGGAGGCCGAAGGACAAGTGTCTCAGAAAAAGTCTGACTTTTTTTTATCATCAGGTTTTCTTATTGGAATCCCTGACCCTGCTCTCAATCCTTTTTGACATAAGTATGAAAAGTACCCCCTGCTTTTGTCCATAAGGTCCAGCTGAATCTGGCTGATTAAAAAAGAACTTGAGAAAAAACAAAAAAACCAAAAAAAAAAAAAAAAAAAAGAAAGAAATCATTATAGGAACTCCAAACAGCATAAACATCCTCATGTCCAAAGTACAAGTTTCCGATTCTGAGAATCCCGTTAAAACCAGTGAAACACTCACTGAGTTCTACATTCCTTCATCCCGGGAGAATTCCAGGCTTAATCGGGCTGGCATGACTTAACTGACCTCCTGGCCTGCCCTTCCAGCAGTCCTGCCCCCCCCCCCCCGGTCATGTGATCTCCCAAGCTAACTCAGGTCACTTTGTCACTTCAGTCCGTGTTCCTCCTTATGTAAAGTGAATCCAGGTTCTCCAAACTGCTACTTCATTTTCTGGGTTTGCCCCCCATGTCTCTAAGCTTTCCTTCAATAGCCCATTCCACACCCCTTTCCTTCTGAGGAAAAAAGGATTCACTGTTCAGGCAATAAAACTCTTTAATTGCCAAAGAATGAACTTTGAGATCCTTGGCTTTGTTATGCAGTCTTTCCCAGTAAGACCTTTCTCACAACATGCACACCAAGGCCCAGACAACTGAGCTTCCAAAAATTCCTATTACGTGTAAGAATTTCCTCACACGTTAACTTTGTCTCTCTTCAAACCAGTTAATTTACCTTGGTTGGTCTTGGACCAGAAGACACCTGGAAGAAAATGACAAAAGCATTCCTTTTCACCAGCAGAAGAAGCACATTTAGAAATCTGGTGCAATAAGATACAACCAGGGGCTGTTTTCAGCTGAACAGCTGTGATCTTTGGGGATGGGGCTCTGAGCCTAGATCAATGACAGCCCCAAGAGATCAGAAATGACTCCCATTCCGGTACTGAACCCAACAGTAGTCTATGAATATAGTTGTCAACTCAAGTAATGAGTGCCAGGACATCCTGAAAACTGGGGGCACTGTGTTTTATCTCGCCTGGACTGGAAGAAGACCACAGTCGCTGCTAGAGCAGGGAAAATGTGGGAGTCAAGACTGAGCATTAGGGAGATTAAACTTGGGCAGCACTCACTGGGGACGGTAGCTTAGTGATGATCAAGGCCTTAATTATTTCTCAGGATGAAAAGGAAAGGAAAGGAAAGGAAAGGAAAGGAAAGGAAAGGAAAGGAAAGGAA